TCCAACAGGCAGAGAAAACCTCTATCTACACCTCCCAAAGCTACCAACTTCTAGCCTTAAAATGATTTCAGCATCTCCCCGTGGGATTCATCAAATACCCAACAATAAAGAGCTAAACAATCTCGAATCAGCGACCACAGAAAAAACAGCCTTTGTAGCTCGACAACAAGCCCAAAAACTCACCAAATCACCAACAATAAAGAGCTAAACAAGCTCGAATCAGCGACCACAGAAAAAACAGCATTTGTAGCTCGACAACAAGCCCAAATACTCACCAAATCACCAACAATAAAGAGCTAAACAAGCTCGAATCAGCGACCACAGAAAAAACAGCATTTGTAGCTCGACAACAAGCCCAAATACTCACCAAATCACCAACAATAAAGAGCTAAACAAGCTCGAATCAGCGACCACAGAAAAAACAGCATTTGTAGCTCGACAACAAGCCCAAATACTCACCAAATCACCAACAATAAAGAGCTAAACAAGCTCGAATCAGCGACCACAGAAAAAACAGCATTTGTAGCTCGACAACAAGCCCAAATACTCACCAAATCACCAACAATAAAGAGCTAAACAAGCTCGAATCAGCGACCACAGAAAAAACAGCATTTGTAGCTCGACAACAAGCCCAAATACTCACCAAATCACCAACAATAAAGAGCTAAACAAGCTCGAATCAGCGACCACAGAAAAAACAGCATTTGTAGCTCGACAACAAGCCCAAATACTCACCAAATCACCAACAATAAAGAGCTAAACAAGCTCGAATCAGCGACCACAGAAAAAACAGCATTTGTAGCTCGACAACAAGCCCAAATACTCACCAAATCACCAACAATAAAGAGCTAAACAAGCTCGAATCAGCGACCACAGAAAAAAATCTGAAAAAGCAGCCTTTGTAGCTCGACAACAAGCCCAAATACTCACCAAATCACCAACAATAAAGAGCTAAACAAGCTCGAATCAGCGACCACAGAAAAAAATCTGAAAAAGCAGCCTTTGTAGCTCGACAACAAGCCCAAATACTCACCAAATCACCAACAATAAAGAGCTAAACAAGCTCGAATCAGCGACCACAGAAAAAACAGCATTTGTAGCTCGACAACAAGCCCAAATACTCACCAAATCACCAACAATAAAGAGCTAAACAAGCTCGAATCAGCGACCACAGAAAAAACAGCATTTGTAGCTCGACAACAAGCCCAAATACTCACCAAATCACCAACAATAAAGAGCTAAACAAGCTCGAATCAGCGACCACAGAAAAAAATCTGAAAAAGCAGCCTTTGTAGCTCGACAACAAGCCCAAATACTCACCAAATCACCAACAATAAAGAGCTAAACAAGCTCGAATCAGCGACCACAGAAAAAAATCTGAAAAAGCAGCCTTTGTAGCTCGACAACAAGCCCAAATACTCACCAAATCACCAACAATAAAGAGCTAAACAAGCTCGAATCAGCGACCACAGAAAAAACAGCATTTGTAGCTCGACAACAAGCCCAAATACTCACCAAATCACCAACAATAAAGAGCTAAACAAGCTCGAATCAGCGACCACAGAAAAAACAGCATTTGTAGCTCGACAACAAGCCCAAATACTCACCAAATCACCAACAATAAAGAGCTAAACAAGCTCGAATCAGCGACCACAGAAAAAAATCTGAAAAAGCAGCCTTTGTAGCTCGACAACAAGCCCAAATACTCACCAAATCACCAACAATAAAGAGCTAAACAAGCTCGAATCAGCGACCACAGAAAAAAATCTGAAAAAGCAGCCTTTGTAGCTCGACAACAAGCCCAAATACTCACCAAATCACCAACAATAAAGAGCTAAACAAGCTCGAATCAGCGACCACAGAAAAAACAGCATTTGTAGCTCGACAACAAGCCCAAATACTCACCAAATCACCAACAATAAAGAGCTAAACAAGCTCGAATCAGCGACCACAGAAAAAACAGCATTTGTAGCTCGACAACAAGCCCAAATACTCACCAAATCACCAACAATAAAGAGCTAAACAAGCTCGAATCAGCGACCACAGAAAAAAATCTGAAAAAGCAGCCTTTGTAGCTCGACAACAAGCCCAAATACTCACCAAATCACCAACAATAAAGAGCTAAACAAGCTCGAATCAGCGACCACAGAAAAAAATCTGAAAAAGCAGCCTTTGTAGCTCGACAACAAGCCCAAATACTCACCAAATCACCAACAATAAAGAGCTAAACAAGCTCGAATCAGCGACCACAGAAAAAACAGCATTTGTAGCTCGACAACAAGCCCAAATACTCACCAAATCACCAACAATAAAGAGCTAAACAAGCTCGAATCAGCGACCACAGAAAAAACAGCATTTGTAGCTCGACAACAAGCCCAAATACTCACCAAATCACCAACAATAAAGAGCTAAACAAGCTCGAATCAGCGACCACAGAAAAAAATCTGAAAAAGCAGCCTTTGTAGCTCGACAACAAGCCCAAATACTCACCAAATCACCAACAATAAAGAGCTAAACAAGCTCGAATCAGCGACCACAGAAAAAAATCTGAAAAAGCAGCCTTTGTAGCTCGACAACAAGCCCAAATACTCACCAAATCACCAACAATAAAGAGCTAAACAAGCTCGAATCAGCGACCACAGAAAAAACAGCATTTGTAGCTCGACAACAAGCCCAAATACTCACCAAATCACCAACAATAAAGAGCTAAACAAGCTCGAATCAGCGACCACAGAAAAAACAGCATTTGTAGCTCGACAACAAGCCCAAATACTCACCAAATCACCAACAATAAAGAGCTAAACAAGCTCGAATCAGCGACCACAGAAAAAAATCTGAAAAAGCAGCCTTTGTAGCTCGACAACAAGCCCAAATACTCACCAAATCACCAACAATAAAGAGCTAAACAAGCTCGAATCAGCGACCACAGAAAAAAATCTGAAAAAGCAGCCTTTGTAGCTCGACAACAAGCCCAAATACTCACCAAATCACCAACAATAAAGAGCTAAACAAGCTCGAATCAGCGACCACAGAAAAAACAGCATTTGTAGCTCGACAACAAGCCCAAATACTCACCAAATCACCAACAATAAAGAGCTAAACAAGCTCGAATCAGCGACCACAGAAAAAACAGCATTTGTAGCTCGACAACAAGCCCAAATACTCACCAAATCACCAACAATAAAGAGCTAAACAAGCTCGAATCAGCGACCACAGCTCTTTTATACACCCAACATTTTGAACTATAATCATTATTGACATGATACAAACGTCCTACATTGACAGATTGAAAATTAGCAAATTTTTTTGTTTGAGATGTGAACATGGTAAAGAGGGGAAACCCTCAAAAGATATCTTCAATCTTACAATCATAAAGCAAGTATACATGCATGCCACTGCAGTTCTTTTCATTACATTTCCTGTTTATTCATTTATCCCTACTATCGCTTCTTATTTACATACCCATAAAAACCCCAATCTCTGTGATATTACAAGACCCTGTCAAATTCACAACTAAAGTGCTATTGCTTAAGTGCTATATCAAGGCCCGATCTTGTCATCATTCACAACTAAAGATTACAGAAATGTAATAGAGGGTAATTTCTATCAAAGAAAATCCTACTGAATGTAAAACAGCAAAGTTTAGATTTAATTTTTGTCATGCAAAGCAGTTAACTAGTTGTTGCCAACGCAGATGACAAAATACATAACAGATGACAAACCAACGAGTATTGAGTATGGAGATCAGTTTTTGGTTTTATGACCAACGAGTATATGTTCTTGGTTTTATGACCCAAAATCAAATTCATCAACATCCCCAAAATCAAATTGTAGGAAAATCCCAACAAGTATTGAGTATGGAGATCAGTAATTACGAAAATAAATGTACAGAAACCCTAACAGATAATTTTCGTCAACAGACCAACGCCAAATAGATCAAAAAAAAAATTGGAGTACAAAGAAAAGATTTTTACCGTGGGAGCCTTGAGATCAGAAATCGAAAACCCTAGCGCAAGATCTGGGAACCGAAAACCCTAGATTTGAGGCGATCGGAGAGGGGAAATCGAGAGGTAACTGGAAATGGCGCGAAGGACCAGCAGCTCGCTGGATTTGGGGCGGGAACCAGGGTGAAATTTTCCGCCGACGAACAAGCTCGAGAAATGTCCAGCGAGTGGGGAAATGGGTACGGGAAGCGAAGAAATGAGTTTAATAAAGGAAGTGTCAGATTTCATGGCAATTTCCTCTCATTTTGAGAGGAAATACATTTCTATAAAATGAGGGTGTTTTTGACAGTTTTAAGAAAACTTTTCTGTAAAGTTTTTGGGAGCCAAACACGTTTTATAGAAATACACAGAAAATTTTTATTTACAAAATTGCCACTCTGACAGTTTTTGAGAAATGTTTTCTATAAAAATACCCAACCAAACACCCCCTAAATATGGTGTTCCTTTTTAAAATAAGAACAATTTTTCAAAACGGACTGATTTTTTTTTTTTTCAAAACCGACTGTTTTTTTTTATTTATCAAAATCGACCCGGTTTTGTGATTAGGCTGCTAATCACTATCCTAAATAGTCGGGGTTGGCAACCCCGACTATTTAGGAGGGTGTTAAACCCTAATTAAAGGGTGATTAGCAGGTTAATCACTATCCTAAATAGTCGGGGTTGCCAACCCCGACTATTTAGGATAGTGATTAGCCTGCTAATCACAAAACCGGGTCGATTTTGATAAATAAAAAAAAAACAGTCGGTTTTGAAAAAAAAAAAAAAATTCAGTCGGTTTTGAAAAATTGTTCTTAAAATAACTTAAGTGGTACGGGATGAGCAGAGATTTTTTTCTCTGCTTTTTCAGCTCAAAAAAAAAAAAAAAACTTAAGTGGTACGGTGTAAATTATAAAAATGAAGATTTTGCCTTTTGGGGGCCAATACAGAAAATGGTTAGATGTTAGGGCGTAAAATGAGAAAATCCTCTAATAACAAGAAAAAAGAGTAAAATTTTTTGGCGCTCTCAAAATAAAAGGACGGCGGATTTCTTTCGAAACCCTTTGATCGCGTGCTCCAGTTCTCAATCGTCGCCATCGTCGATCTCCATTTTTCCAGACGAAGGGTTCAATACATGGCGTCCATGGACGAACCCCTCGATTTCGAGAACGAAGATCCGCTCTTGAGCAGCCCTTCACTCAACGCGAAAAGGTGCCTCTTTCAAACCCTAGTTTCCAAATTTAGCGGTTAATGTTTAAACTACTTAGTTCCTGCAACTTATTTTGACGTCTACGTCACTAATTCACTGCCACCGTGATTTTTGAGTAGTTTGCTGGTCACATTTGTCAGTATTCATGGTTTAATGTGGTTAAAGATGAAATCTTTGGATTGAAAGGTTGGAAATGGCAGCGGATGCTGCTCTTAGTAGCGCATTTCGATGTTGAAAAGGAGAAAGATTATGAGGAAAAAGCATAATCACGGTGTTGTATGTGGTTCAGTTATTTGAATAGACTCCAGAATCTGTATGCAGTTCAAAATTATGATTTTTTTTTTAGAATTTGGTACTCTTTTGTCCATTACGATTAAAGTTTTCTCCAGCAAATCATTTTAAGTCCGTACTCAATTTACCCAAGTAAGTAGGTTGCACTACAAGGTAACTTTGGGCAGTGCTTCAGGATTAAATTGGTGGTATTATGTTCTCTCAATCACTTAGGTACGTTTTTTTTATTTTTCATTTTTGCGTTCACGGTTCTAAGATCTTTTGATTGGTCTATTTGTATTGCCTGGCTTATTCTTAAGTACTATTGGAACCCTGGACTACATTTATGTGGATACTTGGTACTGTCCACTAGGTTTTTCAGTTGTCTCAAATATGATGACAAGGCACTTCACTTCTGGACCATCTGATGAATTGTATGGTGGCCTTTAAAACCTTAAAGAATTTAATCCTGTTTCAACAAGAACAACAGCAGCTGGACAGTTTTATAATGCTTTTGGTTCATCTATATGAATCCTTAATGTTGGAAAATATTGTATTTTCATCCTTTGATGTATTGGGACTGCAACTGACACATGTTCATTCCAATGCTTGCTTAATAAAATATAAGAATGTTTATTATGTTTCTACTTTCTAGTGATTTGTCACATCTAACTCTATTTAACTTAATGAAATTTGTTTGCAGGAGAAAGGTCATTGGCTTGGACGACCTCATTAATGATTATTATAGAGAGCAAGATAAACTGGCTAAGAAGAAGTCCAAAAAGGCTACTACTTTAAAAGGCGATAATTCAGATGAAGAAGATGATAAAACCAAAATGCTCTCTAAAGTTGTTAATGACTGTCAAAAACAGGCTAGTAAACAAGACTTGAGACGTCTGGATTAGTTTTATTATCTTCCCTTACATTTTTGCTTGACTTGTTTGTAGGTTAACAAAATGTGTACTGATGATGATGTACCTTTATGGGGCCAGAAAATATTTGGACATCAGGTCTTCTAGAATGTTAACTTCAATACATCATTTATTTGGCTACACATATTCTTTACATTTTAGCATGCTTCTAATTTTTGTTTTGTTATAAGCACAGAAATCCGCACTATTATCGGAGTTGAAAGAGCCTGTGAATTGCGAACTTTTGCAATCATTTAAAAACAATGAGCTCAATTCATTTTTCGATCTGAATACTGATGGTATGTTGTTTTCTTCTCGATTACTTCAACATCTTCATGTCATGAGATGATCATATGTCATATCTTGTTTCAAATTTTCTACTGAGGAACTTTGATTAAATCCTGTATTATTTACTTGCACCATCATTATTCACATGTAGGAGAAAGCTTTATGAATGGCTTGTTGATGAATGGATGGCTCTCAAAATTAGCCCTTGCACGTGGTTTTGTTGAAGATTCTATAGCATCTTGGACATTTCACACATGTCAGTTATTTTAGAAGTTGCTGTGCTTTACTATATTGAACCCTTTCTTCTTTAATATATATTTACTTTTTGAGGCATCAGTGCTGTACTCTTCAAATAAGGAATTGCAGGTTGCTGCATGTGACTTTTGGTGCAAAATTCTCCTATCAATAGATGAGGTGAATCCTGCTATATTTTTGAAGACGGAAGCCCCCAGTTTTTCAATCTTAAATATTTTTAGAATATGCAGGCTGATCGACCATTAGTAAGATTTGAATGGTTTCCTACATTTTCCAAATTGAAGAATGCCCTTGAAGCTTATGGTTATTTGTCAGACACACCTGATTCATCAGTTTCAACGACAGTCTCTACTGGTTAGCTCCACGAATCATTTAAATATCAGGGTGATTCATGTTACTTAAGGATTATTGCACATGCTGTTGATTTCTGCATATTTACTCCCATCCTGACCAAGCATTTTTTTTGGGTAAAAGGTAATAACATGTGTTATATTAATTCACATCAAGTTAATTCATCGTAACATTTCTTGTGCCCTTGTATTTCTTAAAAATTTACTTTGTCCAAAAAATATGATTATATTCGTATTCAGGAGGTAAAGTTTTCTTTGTTAGAACAGTATTTTTCTGTTTTCATCTTTCTCCCTTGACAGGGTAAATTTATTAATATGTAACTTATTTTATTGTCGGGGGCTTCACAATCTGTCAGTGTTCTAATGCAATTGTGTGTTTACATGTTTCATGGTAGCAAGGAACCATGCTTTATTGCCTTGCAATTATATAATATGCCGGATTCTAATCAGTAATAATCTCATGACTAGATCTTGAAACGTATAATCATTAGAATAAAGAATATTTATAAGTGTACAAGCTGTCATGGATTCAAGCTTATGACTGGCTTTTGGAAGAACTCCGTCTACATGTGTTGAGATTGAATTGAATTATTTGCAAGTAGACAAGTGATAACTTTCAAAGCAGTAGAGTATATGGAGAAGTGATAATTTCTACAGTAGAACAAAAGGAAATGCCTAACTGTTGAAAAATAATCTAAAGGGTTTAAAGCTAACAAAACAAAAGGAAATGCATAGAGTGATTGATAGCCCAGAAATGCCTAGCAGTGACCATTTCTTATATTTAGGATCAATTATTTTTCTGGTGAGAGGTAAAAGAATTTGGTTCAACAGGTTAAATTTGAGAAGTTGATAGTCGATCGTTAATAGTTGGTGAGTACTTCTTTCTGTTTCTCTCGACTTTAGTCATGCTCCATAACTAACCCCATTTCTGGTTAGAAAGGAACAATGCTGATAATGTGTGGCGGTCATTGAAAGTGCTTTGCCAGACTTATTTTAATAAATGGTGCTTAATGTTTTGAAGCTGTAGCAATTTACTCGTTGACACTTTTTCTGAGGTAGCTTTGACGGTTTTCTAACTTGATCTACTTTGATTTCCAGACCTCGGGTGCGAAGGACCACCTGAAAATATTTGGTCATGGATCAATATTGTTTCTGCTTGCTGCCGTTTTAGGTACAAATTGAAAACCTACAGATACTAAATAACCTCACCAAATATTTGTTTACCTGATATTTGCAGCATTAGTGCTCTGCAGTAAACAATGAAATCATTTATGGTAACTTACTGTTTCCAGAATAGTTATTTACTTAAAAGTTGCTTAGCATGGGCTTGCTGCTTAGATAAATTCATATTTGTGTTATCTGTGTAACTTAATTACACCTTTAACCTTTGCGCTATCTTTGTGCATTTGCAGAAGTGTCGGAACTATATTCTCTGCATCAGAAGCAGCTGACTTACTTGCTGTGATTGTTCGTATCTATTTAGACCGCCAACTTCAAGGGTTGTCTGTTATCCTGAATGAATGTATGCAATCAGTTATTAGTTTCTTTAGTGACAGTGAATGGGATTTTGGCTGTAAGAAGGTTGCACATTCTGTTGCTTGCAGGTAGCATGTGGAATAAGATCATCTGCTTATCATTTTGAATTCTTTCAGTCAGCTTGAAACATCTACTCTGTTATCTCAAATTTTATTGAGCTACTTTTGTCAATTTTGATGACTGGAATACCATGTTTATCTTTCTGCTAACCACCTTGATGCATGTCCCATAGATGGATCGCTTGCTTTAGTAGCAAATGATAAAAGGCTAACATAAAATGTAGATGCAGATGACAGCGAATGCTAAGGTCAGGATAGTTTTCTTTGTAGACCACCATCTTTGTAGACCGCCATAAGCAGACATTTTACTGGTTACACGTTCTTTTAAATTTTTTGCATGGAAATAAGGACATCAAAACTAGATGCTTAGCTGGCGAAGTGTTTTCTTTGCAACTTTTTCTGGGATATAGAGGGTGGCTGGGGAGCTTTTTCTTTTTCTTTTTTTTGGGCGTTGCTTTAATTTGAAACGTAGCTATTGATTGTTAGACATTGACGTAAAATCTCTTTGCAAGTGCAGAATACCTAAGGATCTCAACTGCTTACGGATTGTAGAATGCATTTCCGGGGTAGGCAGTCGTAGTAAGAATCTCAGGAGTCAGGTGGCACTCCAGACACTTATACTTTGTTTTAATGAAAAAGTAAGTTCTTTCAAGCTTTATGTAGATCTTGTAGTAATTTCTTGTGATAAAATATTTGTGTGTTTCTGGTTACACGACAAAGAAATGCTTAACCTTTGCTTTAAGAAATCTACATCAATATACGAATGCCATGTCCTTGTTATTAATACCAGAGGCCCTGCACTGGTTGCAATGTTTGTCTGTGTAGGTGAGCGATGGCAAAGAAATACTTAATCTTCTCACAGCTATGAATGTGAAGGACAAAAATTGTGATTTTGTCAAGCTGTATATTTACTTAGTTCTAGTCGAGAATTGGCTTTTGTGTTATCATTCCATAGAGGAGAGAGATGCAGTTCTTGATTTATGGTGCAAGTATCTACGAAACTGTTCTAGCCAAATTACAAGTACAGACTGGAGATCTTATGCATCAAAGGTTCGCTGATGGGATTTCTACGTACAGGTTCTTGTACATGTAAATGTTGCTAAATTCTATGTTTTGTATTACAGGTCCGTAATAAAGCTTCGTATCTATTGCAAAATTCCACAGTGAAGGAAATGTGAATAGAAGGCGTCAGTTTTCTTTTTTCTTTGGATATCGCCATGTATAAACTAGGTACACTATGATCTTTCTCATTCTAGAATTTACCACAACATCAAGTTAATCTCTCTTTTAAACTACATATTTTATACATTTCTGATGGTACATAATTGTTTTTGATATGTTGCAGGTCCTACTCCAATATGTACTTTTAGTAGCAGCTTGGTGATATCCTCCGTTGGGTCTTGAGCAAGCAATACTACAGCCCATGGCTTTCTTTATGAGATCTGCTCTCGTTATTGTTCTTTTGGACTATTAATTAACAAATATTTATTTGATCCTAAAAATTTGAGATGAAATCTTCATTACTGTTGTGGCTGTTGATTTTAGGACTACTATAGAGCAAATAGGGGTGATTCTATTGATCCATTCCAATCAGGTATATCTAGTGGAACCAGAAGTTCATGTTCACCCTTTGGCACGCATCGTGTATAATTTCTTGCGGTGAATGAAACTTATGAGATCAGTGTTGATGTGATAATTGTTAAATTTTTATATCAACATATACTTAAAATTTGTAAACGTATATACAGTGAAAAAAATATTTATACGGTTTTAGTTAGAGGTGTTCATCCGGGCCGGCCAAAACCGAAGCCCGACAAACACCGCCTTTTGACTCAGTTACGTAAATTGTCAGCTGACATAGTAAGCCGAGTGTAGGAAGTTTGAGGCATCTCGACCTCAATTCGTCTGATTAGGTGAGGGGTGAGACACGTGTCAGCTTCTCTAGGGAGATTAGCACTTGTCAAATTTCTAGACTGTAATAGATGCCCCCCTTCCACTTGAACCCGGCTAGCTGAGTACGGGTGGAAGATCAAAGGCTGTCGATCAGTGAGTTTTAGGGTGCATTTATGAAGAAAATGATGGGTTACTGTTGAGGAGACCTTTTGACGTCAGCAGATATGATGAGTCATCATCGTTTCGATTTACAAGATGAATGGTGTATCGATCAACGGGCAACACTTCATTTCCCGTACTGATGGTTCGACTTCTAAGGTCGATCTTAGTCATTTGCTCCTGATTGAGTCGGTCGTTCTGATCTTGACACATGTCTACATTCAAGCCTATATATATAGCCCATTTCTGAGAAGAGCTTATTTTATAAAGCTATCTGCCACCTGATCTCAAAAACCCTAGTTCTCACCGTCGAATGATTTCCGACAAAAACTCCTACTAAACTATTGATGGCTTCCACCGCCTCCACTTCTGACCGTAACGAGGTAAGGATCAACCTCCTCCGCCTGTTCTGCTTGAAAGTCTGGACAACAAATCTCAAGGCTTATTATGATCGCTTTGACTTTCCTAAAATCTTTACTCTATCGGCACTAGAGAGGTCGGAGGATGTATATCACCATGGTGGTAATAAGGCTCCAATCTACCTAAAGCATTTGGAGTATGGACTCCATCTACTACTGCACGCTTTCATCCGTCAGGTTTGTGAAGCTTTGGGAGTATCCCTTTCTTAGATCAAGCCGAACTCGATCACCACTTTAGTGGCGTATGTGGTGATTTATCCACCATGCCGAGTCTACGCATGCTGGGTCATCTGGTAAGCGTCAAGGTAGCTAAGAACAAGGGCCATTATTTATCTTCAGAACTTAGTCGAATCCAAACTCATATTAATTGCTTATGACTCGAACAAAGATTGGAAGGAGAAGCTCGTGCCGGTTCCTGGGCCGACTCCATCCTGCTTTGTCCGACTTGGCCCAAGGTCAAGAAGGATGTGCTGAAGCCGGGCCTTCTCACGAATGAGGAGAAGCAAGGACTCAACAAGATTAGAGCTTATGTCGGGTCGAGGGAGATCAGCAACTTCTTCGAGCCAGTTGTCCTCCGAGTGGTCGGCATATCTCGTGTGCCGCCGACCAAGGAAGATAAATCTGAGCTGATGTCTTGATGCTCCCCCTTAAAGAGTCAGATGAGGCACAACCAGAGTCGACTATTAGCCCCCAAAAGCGTCTGAGGGGTGAGTTGGCTCCTGAAGAGGCTGAGGCGGTGGCAACGAATGTTGTTGAAATAGCGGCTCGACTAGTGAAGCCGAGTGTTACTGCCCAGGTCGAGAGACATGATAAGAAGAAGAGGAGAAGGATGGGGGAAGTGAGTGGCTGAGGTCCTCATGGAAGTGATGAGCTGGCTCAGGTTGAGTAGGAAGGAGGAGTGGATGCAAGTGCTCCTGCCTCGGTCCCAAAAGTCAGCCGACATCCTCTAGCTCCAAGCGCGCCCTTAAGGCGACCGAGATCATCATGATTGATAAAGCATCACCCGCTCAGCTTTTGGGGGGAGAGGAAGTGGTGAGGAGGCTGAGGTACGAGCTAAAGAGGAGACATCTCAAGCTTTCCTGCATGAGCCAGTCTAGAGACCAGGCAAGGCGCCGGTCGAGGAAGAGGCAGCCGGACCTCCACCAGTCCAGGAGTTGACTGAGGCAACCAACTCTAAGGACTAACTTCTAGTGGTCGTTCCCCTATCGTATCGATGAGCTTTGACCCGAACGTGTGGGGGCCGATGAAGGATATGCTAATTAGCTCCTCCAGAGATGACCACCAATATAACAGGGAGCCATCCTTGGGCAACCGATACGTGGCCAAGCAATCTCTCGACAAGAGGAATTCTGTCTTGGAGTCTTAGATGGTCTAGGTTGGGCTTTGGAGTAATTTTATCTTCCTAGAGATGATGAAATCCTTGAGAGGATGCCCACAGTCGACCTTTACTAAGCCCTCAAGGGTTATCTCTTGTGAGGTACTCTAATTGCGCAGGAGCTGTTCTCTCAGCTTGTGCTAGCATGAGACCTCCCCCGCTAAGATGTAAGAGGTAGGGGAGGCTGATAGGGTGGCTTGGGAAAAGGCCGAGAAGAAATGTGCTTCTATGGAGGTTGAGCTGGATGCCTGGAAACAAAGTGATGGAAAATGGCGCCGGAGCTGGAGACTAATGACAAGATGATCGAGGGACTCAAGGCCCACAACCAAAAGAAGTCAGTCACCATCGAGAGGTTAAAAGAAGATGTCGGCTATCTTCAGCACAAGATTCTCGAGCGAGATGACTGAGTGAAATACCTGGAGAGTGTGCTTGAACTTGAGAGGTGAGAGAACGAGATTGCTTTTGAACGCTCCCAGTCTACTCGCCAAGAAGTTGATAACCTCCAGGTACAGCTTAAAGAGGAGGTGGCCGCACATGAGCTGCTGAAGAAGGAGGCAAGCCGAGCGGCATTGGAGACCAAGAAGCAGCGAGAGCCACTTTTCGCTGAAGTTCAAGCATTACAGGGTCGCCTCTGCTATCTCAAGTCTGAGGCTTCTAGGGTGGAGGTTGTGGATAAATACCGCAATAGCCCTCTAGGTAAGGTAGAGATGGCTCTGACTTGTAAAGCTGGCTTTGACTTCTGGGTCAGTTCCCTCATGAATCTTGACCCGACCCAGATTGTCTTTATTATCCTTCCCGAGTTGCTAACTGTCTCGATATCTTAAAGGAGATAGAAATGAAAGGAGGCGAGCTAGTGCTGGATGTTGACAATAGGGATGAGGGAGGCAAGGAGTCAGAAGGAGGCTCTGATCAAGATGAAGAAGATATCCCTGCTTCTTCTCAGCCAACTTCAGCTCTAGAGTCGGGTGCCGCCTTGCCCAGTTCTACTCTTGATCTGAGCCGAGCTCCTTAAAGCTTCATGTATCTTTTTTTTTTTGCAAAGTATATGTGAATGTATACAATGATGTAAATGTCTAGATTATATGAATGAAATTTTGTTTTTGTCTTCTCGATTTGTGAATCTTTCTCACTTGCATTTATTTCATGCCTTGCTCAAGTATGTGTTTGATATAGAGCCAAGTTGGCTCAGTCGTGTACGGCGGATGGGGAGACTCGGCTTCAGACCTTATTTATTAAATATGAGTACATGGTCCTAAAAATACGTGCCTTAGGCTTATGTAGGTGTCAAGGTCTAATTGTAGATAATTTAGACACAAATATTTTTGTTAATTTAAACCGAGTACCTTTAAAATATCAACCGGTTCTTTGGGTTGGGGGCGATTTGGCCTTGTGCCTTGGGTTTACTCGCGATGACACCAAGGTCTTAGGGTAAGTGCATTGGGCTTAAGGAGATGTCAATGTCTTTTTTGTCTAAATAGATTGAGTTGACATGCCTTGGTTTTACCCTGAGAATGTACCAAGGTCTTTTGTCAATGACGTGCCTTGATTTTACCCTACATATGTACCAAGATCTTTGGTGGTAGAGCCAACACAATTGAAGTGTGCCTTAGTTTTACCCCGAGAGGGTACCAAGGGTTTGTCAATGGTGTGCCTTAGTTTTACCCTGAATAGGTACCAACGCTTTTAGAGTCGAAGCCGACCGAATCGATGATGATTGGTCGATGAGGGTTGCACATTGATACAACCAGAAAAAAAAATCTTGTTTGAGGGTAGCACCATTAATTTAATTACCTTGAAGAGAACTATATTCGCTTTGGTCTTATTCAATCTTTGACTGAAGTAGGCCGAGTCGATGAAGATCAGCCTTGGCAGCAGCTTCTCATCTCATGGTTTGAGCATAATGGGCCATCTGCCTTGATGTAAAGGGGAGATGAAGGGCCCCATAGTGGGCGCCAAACTGTTGATGTCGGCTATTAAACAAGGGTTTTATTTGTGAATTAAAGTAGAATCAGGGTCCTCAAACTCCTTCAGATAGCTGATCCTATAGATTGTTGTTCTTCCCTGCACACGAAATACTCGTGAGAGGCTGGAATTGTGTTCTCTGGTTATTCCTGTGACGATCAAGTCAATGTTCGAGCTTGTGTGGAGAGTATAAAATAAGTAAGGGAATAAATGTAGAGTTTAAGAGTTACCTCCCCCACCCCTTTACGTTGTGCAGTGCCACTTCCTTTTATAACAGACTGGAAGGATAAAAAGGTAACTATGGTCGAGTCCAGGCAAACTGCTGAGTCGACAGATACCTTGCAGGTGTCGACTGCAGAAGAAGGTGTGTCATTTGGTTATGTAATGAGAGACTGGCAGCAGGTGCTTGGAGCTGAATGTGTCCGATGAGTCATAAAGACTGTGGAGACTAGAGTAATGATCATTTTGTCAGAGCATTTAAAGCGAGAGTTGTTGGCTAGCGAAGGGTTCAAGGTAACTGTTGTCTTTCAGCTTGTCTGGTCAAAGGCTGAGAAGCACCGCCTTTTGACTTGGCTATGCAAGTTGTCGACTGACACAGTAGACCGAGTGCGGGAGGTTCGCGGGGTCAATTAGGAGAGATGGTCGACAAGCACCGCTTTTTGACTTGACTACGCAAGTTGTCGGCTGACACAGTATGCCGAATGCGGGAAGTTTGAGTGTCTCAGACTCAATTCGTCTAATTAGACGAGGGTTGAGTGTGTCAGCTTCTCTAGGAAGATTAGCATTTGTTGACTTTCTAGACTATAACAACATGTAATCCACATTTTTTAAGAACTCGTGGGACCATAAAGTGTAGATCAGATTAATATCTAATATTAATTATTATTTTTAATAAACACAACTTCATT